TATCATTAGCAGTATAGCTGGCCGTTCGGCAGCGCGGGCAGAGTATGAAGATGGTACAAGGGTACCGCTACCCCCCAAACCGTTCCCGGGCTTTTTTATCCTGTAAAAGCTGCACGCTGCTGCGGACCCACACACCTCGCACATAGAAAGGATAGTCTTAAAAGGTGATGACTGTACATTTCGTCATAAAATGGTGAAGAGGGAGCATCGAAAAGGGAGGCGTAATTTTCATGAAGTCCCGCTCACCAGGCTATCCTGAAATACCACCCTAATGTGGCGGAGGCGGTGTACTGGCAAGAGGCACGCTTACCACGCGTCATGCGGTAGTTAAATTCCGAACCATTTCCAGCCCAAGTCAACCAAGCTTTCTACCCTTCGGAAACGGCGAATTGATTCCAGATTCGTCTGGAAGGGAGAAAAAACACCGACTTGTACATCGGCTGGCCCCAGCAAGTCATTGTGTGGACCACAACGATTCTGAATGAAAGTAGAATACGTGTCGCATTCTGAAAATGGGATTGGTCAACGGCGAAGACTTCCTTTTATTTACCGCAATAGGGAAAGTGCAAACTTTATTTCTCGGTTGTTTGAGAAAAAATAGAAAAGAGAAAGAAAGAAGAAAGAATAGAAAAGAGTTTAGAAAGGCCTCTACAGACAATCCCATGGGCATAAACTAAAAACGGGCAAATTCAAGAGTTCATAAGAAAACTTATGCGGATTCAAAAAGGTATTCCTCTTCATAAAAAGAGAAAACTGCCAGCAGCAGTGTGACCTCCGCATGAAAATAATCGATCGACCATACCTCATCACGTATCCTCTTTTCGATGATTTTCTTCTCATTCAAAACAAAAAATAATCCTAAATGGGCACTTCATGAGGACTACGGTTATGATACGAATTCAAATTAACACGGAAAGGGAAAAGTAATATCTTACCAGCCAAAAATAGTATCAATCCGTGAGCCAAATCGCCGAACATGACAGCAAATAAGAAGGGAAATGTAATAATCGTAAAGGGTGCTAAAAATAAACGATAGCCGTAAACACTTTGCAGGAGAAACAAGCAGCTAAATACTAGGGATGCCTTTGAAACACACCTGGGTTGACTTCCCTGTAATTTGCTACACCATACGAATCCACAATTGATTGGAATACTGAGGTAAATTTATTGGTTCGATGAAATGTCGGTGGAGGTCCTTGGGAAACGACTTCGTTCAGAATAGGTGACACATCGCAGCCACTTGCTTTCTGAAGAACAAATTCATGGACGACTTCAAAATATGTGACGAGCTCCAACTCTCGAGAAGCCCTGCCCACTTCGCGGAGTCCCCACCCATTTTGAATAATCCGAGTTGGCTAAAAACTCAGGTCGTAGGGTATGGTCTCGCTCATCATTGGGAAAATTTCTTTGCTCCGGGAGACGGGAAAACCATAACCTTGGTCGGTTTCTCCCGTCGTAAGGAGCAAAGAAACCGGCGACGGTTTGCCCTTGAAAGAAATGTCAGGTTTCCATTAAAGGGTGATCTGATTCAGATTATTTCAAAAATGAGGACCCGATTCGAAATGAAAACGGCATATATCAAAAGGAACCAACCAATCCGTCGCACAATGCTACATGAACAGTGTCCATCTCCTTTTCCGGTATCCAGCATTCAGCTGCCAGGAAACCATTCGTGTCTACCTATGCACCACAAATTTCCCATTTCAATTTAAAAATATTAAGAATTGATTAACAACTAAAAACTGGCTAACCGTAAATCTATTCAACGTGCCATAAATGGACTTTTGCAAGTGAACTTTTTTCAACCAGATCGGCAGATCCTTTGCAACGTTTGTCAGAATCTGCAAGAGAAAAGTCAAGGCGATCACCGCCATACGGGACACGTCTTACGTTAGGAGTCGTATTCGGTCGCTGGAGGGGAGGGTTGGTCGTATTTGCCCTTTACTAAATGTCTCGGTTGTTGCTGACTTTTCTCTGCTTTTCCTGTTTTTCCCCGTTTCAAGTACGCTACAAACATATCCTCTCTCCCGCATGACGACACTTTCTGAGGGGGGGGAGAGGGTGGTGAAGTATGGGAGGATTCGGAATAAAACCTCAGACCGTCTTTCTGAATGGAAGTATTGTGCGTGGCGTATCCCGAAACGTATTTGTCGACGGCAGTAGCTCCATTTCATCCCACGCTTTCTGAAAATTTTTAAAGTGTTCATTAAACTCACTTGAAATCGATGTTCCTGAGTGCTCTTGATGACAGTCTTGAGATCTTGAATACGAGCGATCGTCTCAAAAAGTGCTTGTTGCCGTTCTTTCGATGTTTTCGGGCACGGATATTGTCTGGCATTGAAGCTAAACATGTAGGGATTATCTTTTGAAGCTTGTTCTTCTGCCAACAGAAGTCAGGGCACGTTCTGCCGTTGGGGGAGGGGGAACTTTACGGAATACGAACCCCCTTTGAAATTGCCTCCTGCATACTGCTGTACGACCCTACCCCCCCCCTCTCCCTCCCTTACCCCATCCCGGATCCTACCTACCATCTTCCCAAGGTCTCCCAACTTTCACGAATTTCCCTTTTCGTGAAAAGACAGTGACGACTCGAAGAGGCTGTCTAGCATACTTACTAGGGAAGTCCGCCAACTTACCATGGAACTTTGAATGGAGACCTGGGTAGATCGATAGAGTCTATAAGGTTATTTACAAATATAGATAGCAAAACTGCAACCTGCATTTCACAAGCAACTTATGAGCAGGTAAAGTTTGTAATGGTGCAGTAGGGTGGAGGCTTGGTGGTGAGCTGTGAAGCATAAGCGAGGAATCGCATACGTCGAATCGAGTCGTCGAACGAACCTTACCACTGAACCACCACGACTCGATTCGACGTATGCGATTCCTCGCTTATGCTTCACAGCTCACCACCAAGCCTCCACCCTACTGCACCATTACAAACTTTACCTGCTCATAAGTTGCTTGTGAAATGCAGGTTGCAGTTTTGCTATCTATATTTGTAAATAACCTTATAGACTCTATCGATCTACCCAGGTCTCCATTCAAAGTTGCCATGGTAAGTTGACGGACTTCTTTAGTTAAAACGAGAAATGTCCGCGACCAGGAACATTTAACTCAAAAGCTGAGACACCGATAAAATATGACCCTTTCGCGGGGGATCTCCAACGTGTAACATGCCCTGACGGAAGTGAGCCATCATTGAATAGGGGTCAGCATTTCTTACCCATCACACACTTTATCAACGATTAGCTTCAGGCTCTGTCCTTTGAAGAACACGATGAATACACACTTGATAATGGGTGCGAGCTGAAAATTGTTTCAATATGAATCTGCTTTTACATTTGCATTTTTGCTTGAACATTCATTCTCTTCCTTTTCGTTAATGAAATTTACAGCGCGGTCACTTCCTCACTCATCGCTCCTGGATGGAGGGAGCTCCCGCTGGGGAAAAATTTTGCAAAATGCGACAAAATTTCCTCCTCTTGTACGACCCCTCCCGTTTCTTCCCCATTCCCATCATTCCTACCGTGCCCCTGAATTGTCCTAATTTTCCACTAGTTTTCTGGACCATTTCTTCAAAAAAGCTGTCGAGCGGGAGCGAGGGGGAGAGAAGGCGAATGTATACAGCGCATGTGAAACGGGAGGAAACCGGTATTGGGACCGGAAAATTCAACGACAATGAAAAAATTATTCATAAAGGAGATACGCCTTCCCTTCCCCCGAAAACATTTTTTGCAGCTTTTTTTAGAGAAGCAAATACGTCTTCCCCTCTTGAATGACCAAATACGACCCCCTTGCTGGGGGTGGCCCCCTGAATAGAACGCTGACCCTAGCCTGAAGGTACGTTCTCAAACACTTACGCTTATCTGTCATTCACCGATGCCTCTGACTGGGTTCGTAATGGTGTTTCCCTAGTCTGTTGCGGCCATGTGGTAAACCAGCCTGACCGCGTGCGAACTCTGACTCTGCCTTAAGAGCGCAAACGACTAGCTTAGGGCGTCTGCGTCTCGTAGCATACCCCTTGAGCAACTTAGTCTCGCCTCGCTAACCCAAAAATAATAAAACGACCAAACAATGTCAACGACAACCTCTGGATCGTACCGGTAACAGCGATCCTCTAGGCTTAAGGTGTTAACCACATAATCCGACAAAGGCCGTTCGCCTACATGCTCGCCAAAGCACTCGCTCAAAAGTGTTCTTTTTGTCCAGTGGCATAACACCAGCCACAAACCTGCAATTGAGTAATGTTTTCCAAAGGATGCAGTAAGTGTGCCTCTTCTTCAAGTTCCTTGCCCCTGCCTATCCAAAAAAGAGGCTAATACAGGAGAATTTCTATTTAGCTTACCATGCACTTTCACCTTTTTCGTCGCTGAGCAGAGGTGTAAGCGGGACATCATTTTGACCAGTTATATGTCCACCAGCGCTTATTGACTTCTGTAGAGTATCTTGCTGAAACGATCGCAGGTTAGCAATTAGAGTTCGCATATCGAAGCGAAAATAAAAGAATGATTGGCCCACTGCATCAAAACATTTCACTAGAGCGTCGTCTCTTCGATTTTATTAGAAAGTCATCAAATTACGTGATCACTAAGTTTCCAGGATGAAAATTGGCCAACGAATGAATCTATTGTTGTAAGTCGCTGCGGACATTGGGCGGTGCCATTTGCGGCTGCGCTTGGCTGCGCGCACCAAACTCGTTTTCCCATTAGTTTGTTGGAGCGGGCAAGCTGAGGCATTTCGTGTATCATAATCCTTGGTATTACTCTTTTTACCACTTTTTGTCGCCAACGGGCGTTTCAAGAACAGAAGCCTAGACAGCACTTGACGCTGTTGCACTACTCATACTGGCTGAACACGCCCCAACCGTCCGCCAGCGAAATAGAGGTGATCTCTATCCCTATTGACGCTTCCCGTCATTCGTGGAGCATATGCACAGTACACTGGCACAGCTTCGGGGCATAGTGTCAAAACAACTCGAGAACCAGAACTTGAATGAAGCTTCATGGTGGACATAACGGCGGAACTGCAATAGTTGCCCTTACGCAAGAAGGGCAGCTTTTAGCTCTGGTGCTCAGGGCGTCGAAGCCACGCCTTAGCCGCTAAGACCTGACATCGACATGTCTTGAACTCGCAGCATTTCACGTGGGCACTCTGCCGTGACGCCGAGAGGGAAGGAGGTGCCATTATCGTGGCATGCCCTTTGGTACCAGGAAGAGAAAGAAGGAAGAAAATTCCGGTCACAGTCTCCAACTTTAGGCGCGATGAAGTCCCCATTCTGATTTCTGAGTAAGGTTCAGTATGCAAAGAAAGAGCAACTTGAACACGACAAACTGGGTTTCATTCACTCTCAAGGACGGTCGCTTCCATGCATGAGGTAAAAAGGTCAACAGCAGTAGCAGCCTTCCGATTTCTCAAAAGATTTCTCCAAGATGCACGACTATTGGCTAAAATAGTGGTGCTACTTGGTGGCGTCTTCATATTACGCCCGCGCTACCCTGAAGGTGCAGCACCTGCGTCGATACCAGGGTCCCACAGCGAGTTTTCTACCGTAGAGAATGACCAGAAAGGAGAAGGATGAGACAAGAAGCACGTTTGGCTATGGTCACGCTGTGACCTGGTAGCGCGTATAGCGCTGGGGGGTGGTGGGAAGAAAGGCAAGCGGCACCCGACTGCTTCCCACCATTCACTTCCCTGAAAATCCGAACGCGAAAAGACTGGGCACCCACAGAGGCTACGGATCACTCCCACTTCACATATGCGGAATCACCACCGATTCCAAGGAGGTGAATAGCACACTGCTCCATAACTATCTACAAAACTCCCTCGGTATACATGAGGTTTTCAAAAATGTCCTCAAATAGAAAATGAGGTAATAATCAATACCACTTTGCATGCCAACACCGGAAACTAACTTGAAAAGAACAAGTTTTTTTTGTTCATTTTTTTTTGAAAATTGGTGTACTCTGACAATTCCACCAAAATTGATCCACCAAACAAATCGATCATCCAGCAACAAGTGCACAACAAAATGAATAAATTGTGGATTCAGTAATCTACTGGAACTCCATTTCTTCGAATAAGCTGGAAAATGTGGTTGTTATGCTCGAATAGAGGTTTCAAATGAGTTTTCACTCGACATGCTGCCATGCATCAATGATTGACTTCTTAAGCTCACGGACATCGTGGAATCGCTCATTGTTCGCATAGATCTTTCGCACCATAAAGCCCCACACATTCTCGACTGGGCTTAAGTCAGGGCTACTGACTGGCCAGGGCAAAAAGACAGTCGGGTGACAAGTGAATCACGCTCAGCCAAAAACTAACCTTACTCCAATCGGTTCGGCAACATCTTCCAGCAAAGCCAATTAGGTTTTCGCGATAGTTTTTTGTTAGAAACAGTGCCTGGCTCATATTCCTCCTGTAGGTGAACTCAGGAGTTTTTCAAGATACGCCGAACAGTCCCTTCGAGACATTAAGCCTCAAAGTTGACTTTATTTCCCGGCACGACATTGGAGAATTGGATGCTTCTCTCAAAATACGGCGCTTATCCCGATCAAAGAGCAAAGGAGGACGCCCAGAGCTCTCCTTAACTCCATATCCTGCAGGCTGCTTGACAAAATTGTTGACCACATGATGACTGCGGCCCAAATCCCGTGCGATTTGACGGTTCGACAGTCCTTGAGTCTTCTTTGCGATTATCTGTCCTTTTTTCAAATCCGATAATGAATGTCCTCTTGCCATAGCCCAGAAAAGGCAAAGTCACAATGATGAGACAGTTTTACTCAACAAAAAAAGACGCAGCGACAAAACATGAGGTGGAGCTATCATTTTGTGGAAGCGTCAGAGTACCAATTTTCAGAAAAAGGAACGAAAAAAAGTTGTTTTTCAAGTTAGTTTCCGGTGTTGACACGCAAAATGGTACTGATTATTACCTCATTTTCTATTGAGGACATTTTTGAAAACCTCATGTAAGACGGGATTTTGTAATATTTATGGGTGGAACTATCATTATGTGGAGCAGTGTATTTATCTTTGAAGGCGAACAACTTCTTGGGGCGTCTTTACTAGATGTAATGAGAACAAAATAGGCGAGCAAAAAGACTTTGCCCCGCTGCGTTCCTGAGAACTTCAAAAGGCAACTAAAAAACCAGAATGGAGGAGCGTGGCTCATGATGAATGTCGAGAATTGGGAATTCACGGCCAATTATCTTCCAAATGTTGCGCTCCGCATAGTCAACCGTGTGTCAAAAACGGTGGCACGCGTTTTATAAAAACCGTGAAACTGAATCCAAAAGCTTTACCGCAGCGTCCGGAACTTCGATGTTATTCATTGCCTCATCCTCCGTGTGCTGAAATTCAACAGCTGACAATCACGACCAAAAATTAAAGGTTTTTGAGGACCTCACCACTTCAAAAAACTGTTCGACTCGCTGCAGGACGTATTCATATTCGCGCATTTCGTTCAAGTTTTTTCTCAGGTAACTGTCGTTTTTATTCAGTGAGACGAAATCAAGCTCTAGCTCGTCCACTCGTGTCTGAAATCAGAAAGTCACCCAAAAACAGTAAAAGTAGCATCCGCTCGATGAAGAAACTATAATAAAGCCCATAGCCACAATAAGATAAGGAAACCGAGAAAAAGGGAAAGAAAACTGAGCAAAGACCTCTTAAAGGCACATTCTTCGATAACAGAAACTGAAAAGGGCCTGAAAGTTACCTCCAAGTTATTGATTTCGGAATGTGACGGCGTTTCAATGGTTGAAGCGTCTATTGGTAGAAGCTCTACACCCGGCACGCATTCCACCACCTGTCGCTCGAGAAATCCTAAATGATCATTGGACGTAGTTGACACGACCCGGGTTCAAAAACGGGAGATGTGTGGCTCGAATACTAATGACAAGGTAGTAAGCGATTCAGTAATGAAGGAAAAAGCAGGAAAAAAACCCGCCGGACAGGACTACTTTTTCCAAAAGAGACGCCTGAACATCAAATAAACGCGGTGTGCCCTTAAACTGACACGATAAGTTCTCAAGACGAGTAGGATTAATACGCCTGGCAGGACGGAATTCCGCGCCCCCTAGCAGGCGCTGCGTAGCGCCTTTTCCAAGAAAGGTACCTCATAAGGCCCTATCAAGCTGCAACATACCGACCGGACGCCCACCGCGCCCGCCCGCCCACAAATGGACGACCGTACCTGATGCTCGTATTGCTTCATTTGCTAAGTAAAATATGAAGCGAAGGGATTGATATGAAGCGGCTGCGGTGCTGCATGGATATATGAGTACATACGTGCAGCCGTATCTACCGTAGCGGTTATTGGCACGATGCCTAGGGAAAACTCGTCCAAAATTGCTTTCTTAGTCATGAGAAAACAAAGGCTTTCTTCGCAGGTTTTTGACCGTTTCACTTCGTTTATTTCGCCGCTCCTACTATTTAGCACACTGCTAGCATTTTAGAGCGAGTGCCAAATTATCGCGCCATATGCCTTTAAGGCAGTTTAGGCGTGCCAAACGGACTAAGGACGCTTTTCACGCTCCTTCGCATCTTCTTAGTGCGAAGGAGTGTCTGCCCACAAGCCATGTTCTCCCTCCCAACCCCCGCCCCTCCCTCAACAAGTTCAGCCTCAGAGCGCGTATACAAACGGTGGGAAGGTGAAAAGAAGGTGAAAATGTTGGCAAGCACCCTACAATCCCAAAATAATATTAAATTTCACGAAAACTTACTCAATTTCCGTTCAAGTTCTTCACATCGTCGCACCTCTCTTATAAATGTTCGTTGAAAAATATTTCTTTTGGCATTTAGCTAAAAAGAACAGTGTTCCTGAAGATTTTGACGACTATAGTGAACAAAATTTTTAGCCTTGCTCTACACTCTACTGCTCCACTCTCTGAATTCAGGCCAGTTCTTGACGAAATTTCTTCAGAGCAGATTTGAAAGAATTTCTGATGCTGGGATCATGAAGAAGAAATGCTTGGTGTCGTGTCATAGGCGCTAGCGCCACAGACCAGTATTGGTGCCTGCCGGGCGTTTCCGCGCGAGGCGAGATTCGTCCTTAGGTGGGCAAGCTTCCACGTTGACAGTATTCTAGCAAAATCCACTTCAGTGGAAAAATTCTGGTAAAACGGTTTCAATGTCGAAAAGTGCACTGACGAGGGAAAATGGTGCCAAGCAGAATTATGTGGGAAGCACCGCCTGTCGTGACTCGCGGGGATCGCTCTCAAGGGTTTATCCCGGTTGTGCTGGCGCCTACCGTAGCTCGCCGCTGTGACCCAAGTTTGCCCTCCTTCGGGCATGATCGCGCAGGAAACCGCTGCCACCCCGGTGGCATCGATCACTACAGACTTCACACCTTCTTCTCCATCTACTCCAAGCGGTCGACTACTAACCTTCTTCCAAGTCAGCTATTCCACTCGTCAGTCGACCCTGAACTAACACTCAACCTAATCCAGCGGCATACCTTGCCAGTAGCCTGGTGCTACGTATTGTCCGCTATTCTCTTAAAATAGCAACGAAGTCTGCTCTCCCTTGGTCGACCAACAACCGGCGGCGGCTATTGCTAGAGAGTGGGCCCTTAGAACAATCAGTGAAATATGTCCATGGATACTTCAGTGTTCACTCAGTTGGCGACGATATATTATTCATCTCCGTGAGTTCCGCAAGTGTTTTACGTTCTGAAGGTTCGCAGATCCCCGACGGAACCGTTGACTGTGTTGCCTCCTTCACTGATAAGTAGTTCGTGTTATTTTACTGAAGCTCATAAAGTTGCTAACCCCAGTTCGTTATCACACAAGAGGAGGTTTTGCCTTGCGATTCTTACCAGTCATCTTGTTGTGGTGCATTAGTTCAGCGGGTTGATCTCAACCGATAGCGCAGAGGAGGCAAGCAGGATAAGGCTGTTCGACCCGTAGTCCAGGACTTGCTGCGTATGGGAGATGGGGCGTAGGGCGAAGGGAGATTGGAGACCATCAATCAATACAGCGCCGCGAACACTCCCCTCTCCCGCTGTCCTGCTCGCGGAGCAACCCCGATTCGCAACACCGCCTATTTTAAGACGCTCGCCCCGTTCGAGTATGGCTCACCCGTTTTGTCCGCACTCCGTACTGCCCTCACTACACTTTTCCTAATCTTAGGCTGATGCAGAACCAAATTGTGAACTTTTGTCTCCCACAATCCTCAATTTCAGGGCGTGCCCCGCCCACTGTGGGTGGGCTAGACACAGGTCATGTATGCTGCGCACATTTTGTCCCATTTTGTCCATCTCAGCACTGGCCTCAACTCTCGACGTTGCCCTTCAGGAGACTAAACAAGCACATAAAGAAAATCATGTGTAGTAAGGGTGACGGCAAGTAAAATTAAGCCAAATCATGCATGTTATGAAAGGCAGAGGTAGAGCAAAGAGTAAGCATGGCCAATGCGAAGGTAAAGAAACTCTCAGAGAACTGTCTTTGAAACATTTTTTCCAAAATTCAAACTAACGTCATTGAATTGCACATTGCCATATTTTCCCAATTCACCAACACAATCATAAGCAGCATCCTTGACCAATATCATTTCGCAAAGTTTCATCGGTTCACTACGATATAGAGTCCCCATTTTCACTTCGGCTGGCTTCTCCGAAGCTAAAGATGGGCGTGATGAGGACCGCTGAAATAAGTTGAATTTTGCCATTCGTACTGGTTTTGTGTAGCTTCGATTTTGTGTCCACTCCGCTCTTGTCCTGCGCGGCACTTCTTATGATAGGCCTTATAATTATTCCAGAACAAATAAGGCGCAGGTGTAGCATCTTGTTCGTTGCGGATGATGGAGCGTATCAGGAGACGGGAAAAAACTCATAAGAGTGAAGTTTCCAGCAATTATTTAGATTTAACAATCAATATTACTAACGGTAAAATTAGTACCTAAGCTGTATAATAAAACGGATGATTTTAGCTTCAATGTAATCAGATTTCCGTATAGTGACACAAACATTTCCCTTATTAACAAAGCCTCTGTTATATATACGGAAACGTTGAGGTTAGCAAACACTTGTTCGTTCTTCGATATATTCGTAAGCAAAATAACGGATATGGTCTCTTCGAAAAATGGCTACGAAGAAGATTTTATTATTACTAGCATTGTGAAATGTATTTACAAAAATAAATTTATAAGTTACAAATACTCTATTGCAAATAACTATAGAAAGATAAGTAGACTGGTTAGAGGTATTCTCATTGGCAGCGGTGTTCAACACTAGTTCTCCTTTTACCACGATTTTGATTTAACTTTTTGTAATCCGCTGCGACAGTGTCTTTTACTCAATATTCCCTTAGTTGGTTTAGCCCATCTACAACAATCCATTTTTCTTCCTCTTACACGTATTTAGTACTCACACCTGTTATATCCTTCTTTCATTTTTCCTGTACAATTCCTTCTCATCTTTATTGCATGAATTTTGCATGTCAACTTTTTTTTTTTTTTTCGTTTTCATCCTATTTTTAACTCCTTCCCCTATGTAGTCCATGTCCATGTCGTCAACCCGTTGTCGCGGACGTGACGAGCCTCGGGCGTTAGCAGAGACAATCTTGTCTACGATTAAACGGGCGAAACGAATCAATTCTGTGCTTCGGAGTGTAAATTCCATTTCCTCAAATATTTGTTTTTCTTTGTTTCTAATTGGACGGGGACCCTTCTTTCTTCAGCACGTATCATATCGTTCGTAACAGTCGCTGTTGTCGCCTAACCGCTACAACAACTGGTGGAGAAGGGGCTGGCAGTGCGCCAAACCTAGCCTTCCTGACACACCCATCATTCGCAGCGAATAATCTGGAAAGCGACAGTCTGCAGACAGTTTTCTGCAGGTTTAAACAGTCACAGTCGTGTTAGGCACTGCACCAAAAGCAACCGTGCTGACACGCCCCATCATCCGCAGCGAACCATACTGTAATCGAAATGGCAAACGACCTAATGACATGCTTATTTTTAACAGGAAATGTAGTGCGTTGCCTCTGACCTGTGCTATTTGAGGGCCAAAAACAAGTAAAATAGTAACCAACAATGAAACCATAAGAACAAAAGAGATTGTTGAATAAAACAATAGAATAAAAAATAAAATAGGTTATAGATAATGCCGTGGAGATCCTGAACAAGCACGGTGCAGCACCGCAGGGAGAATCCCATGGGGAAAGAGATTTCGTACATAGTCGCTGGAGGGGAGTTGTAATAGGGCCCCACAGAGGGTTGTACCGGCACCGCCAATTCACACCTCCCGATGTTGTACCCTGTTTTCAAGGCTAGTCCATCCCTACCGTAGATCGTCATAAAGAAATATCAGCAAAGATTCTGGGCACTCAGCACGAATTCAAAAGCGT